GCAGATAAACTTACACAAGGACGTTCACGCATGCTCTTCAAGTTAAACAGTACTAGTGAGGCTGGTGAACTATTCTGGCAACTCTACTTTTCAAAGTTTGCCTTTCAGTCTATGAAAATTGTCGAAAATTGAAAGGCTTATCCGAGAAGTACTTTGGTTGGCCAAACATGAAACACCCCAGAATGAAACAAAAGGCACATGGAATGTTGAAGAACTAAAACGATAAATGCGCGGATTGCAAACGACGAAGTTGAAAGATTTAGCTTGAGGTAAACAAGAATGCACACGATGCACAGGTCAAGAATTCTTTTAGCTGTTACACTACATATTTGGAAGAAAAAAAGGAAGACCTTAACGACGAAAGTCACAGAGCTTCTCCCCAACAGCTTCTCTTTAAAAGTGCGTAAAATTTGTGAGATACATACCAAAACTGTGCTGTCTTTGACGGTTGCTGACTTCACTGTAATAGTCCAGTTCTGTACCGTAAAGACGCTGTAGAAGACTGTCGGCTGCATTTATGTCGTAGAATTTTCTTAAGAACCTAACGTTGACGTAAGAACGGAACAGGGATACATGACACTGACGTAACCCGGTTGAAAGGAATCCAAGTTCCTGTCAATCTTCAAAACCGACTACGTTTTATCATTCCTGTCTGTGAACTTAGGATCTTGTTGCTGGAGAGCCCCACCTACGAACAGTCTTAGTCGTTTAAGATTTCCGGAAATCTTAAAATGTGTGGAGTCAAACGGTTTTTAAATCACGCCATGGAGACAGTTACTTTTCGTTGGCCCGTGGTATGTTAAAATTAAAGGAAACTCTACTTCGTTACTGTAGTTTTGAATTTTTTCGATAGTACAAATTTAAAATCAATTCTAGACTGGAATTGCCACGGATCATTAAAAGAGTATATAAAAGTTTTCATTTGGTTTTAAACGAGCCATAGCAAGTCCAAGTAATACAATCAAGGTCGTCGCCGTGAAATAACCATTTCTATAAAGTTTAGTTACCGTGAAAACTGGATGCTGGTTTCAAACGTTTTTGTGATTCTGAGTCCTTGAACTTATGCTTTTCATGGTCTAATCAATCCACTTCAGCCACATCACTGTTTTTGTCATTAATAGACCAAGATCTCTATTCCTTCGATCTCTTTTTTCCACACCAATGATAGGTTACTGAATTGCAGTCAAATAAGTTGCTCCCCTTTTGCTTTCCATTCTGTTTTCTGGAATGTTTTAGCGTACCAAAAATCATTTTAATTATTTAGGTTCATCCTAAAAATGCCATAACAAGTTTTGTTGTCTCGTTAATGAGATGTTACTGATTAAACGACTACGACCGTCTTTAAACGTACAATCAGACTCAATTCGCGCTAAGGTCTTTGCCTGATCTATGCAAATTAGTGATTCTGGATTCTTAGTTACTCTTGAGATCGCATAATAATTTAGTTTTCCTTGACAATGGCGCCAAGATGTCGCCTAAACGTCGGACTTTTATCGTTGGTTTTTGTTTTGGCTGTAGATGTTTATCCTAGGGAATGGTCCTTTTTCGTAACCTGAGGGAGTGTGTGTGTGTGGGGGGGGGAGGAGGGGGGGTTTAAGGATTTTTGTTGTGTGATCAGGACTCTCTCTTATCTACAGGACTCTCTCTTATCTACAGGAC